CCCCCTCCTCTGACTGCGCCCCCTCCTCTGACTGCGCCCCCTCCTCTGACTGCGCTCCCTCCTCTGACTGCGCCCCTTTCCCTGAATGTGCCCCCTCCCGACTGAATTCCCTTCTCTGACTGTGCCCCCTCTGACTGTGTGCTTTTGTCCCCAGTGTGTCCATGGAGAGCTCTGTCACCGAGGCCCAGGATGAGATGCTGCAGGTGCTCAAGGAGAAGATGCGGCTGGAAGGACAGCTGGAGGCCCTGTCGCTGGAGGCCAGCCAGGTAACAGCGTCGACTGCCGTCCTGGTGTCATGGTCCCTGCTCTGGGGTGCAAAGCTGCATGAGTGCCCTTATGAGCAAGCCTTTTTATGACGATCATTACATCGTCCAAGTCCGCTTGACACGTTGGCCTGAGAAGTGTTGGGGTCGCCCTACTGATTGTTGTGGTCAGCCCCTCCCTGAGGTCCTTGCAGACGTGTCCTGAGTATGTCCGAGCTGTGCAGTGAGAAACCTGACAGCCCTGACTGCAGCCTCCTGGCGGTTTGCACCCCTTCCAGTGCGGGAAAATTCCATCTTCACTGTCGCTGCTTTTGCTGACGTGTGGGTTCTGCTTTTTCTGAGGCTAAGGCTGCTCATCTGGTATTCTCACTTGGTGTTTGCGGGTTTTGGTGCTTTTTTTGTTTTTGAACTTTGCTGTCCCACGCTCCCTGGCAGTGTTCGCACTTGCCCGAGTGGCGCTGTGCTCAGTCGTGGCTGTGCCCAGGCTCGAGCGGATGCAGCGCCCGCCCCCTCGGCCTCCTTGGCCTGTTTGGGGAACACTGGGACACTGTCCTGCGACCGGCCAGATAGCTTTTTCTAACGTAAAGCTCGCCTTTCCGGCACAGACTTGTCTCAGTGGGGCGTCTCACCAGTCAGTCCTGCTCGTTCACTGGGGATGCCTGCTCCTGAAAGTGACTGCATGTTTGGTCTGTTTCAGGCGCTGAAGGAGAAGGCAGAGCTGCAGGCACAGATGGCTGCCCTGAACACCCGGCTGCAGGCGCAGGTTGAGCACAGCCACAGCAGCCAGCAGAGGCAGGACTCTCTCAGCTGCGAAGTGGACACCTTGAAGCAGTCCTGCTGGGACCTGGAGCGTGCCATGACTGATCTGCAGAGCATGCTGGAAGCCAAAAATGCTAGCCTGGCATCCTCCAACAACGACCTACAGGTGGCCGAGGAGCAATACCAAAGGCTCCTGGCCAAAGTGGAAGACATGCAGAAGAGCATGCTCAGTAAGGACAACACAGGTGAGCCTCCACCACGCCGGCCCCTGCGCTTCCCAGTGAGTCATGGCTCTCTGGTGGGATTCCTCTGGTCTGGACTGCCCCACTATAACATTAACGTGACTGTGGGCTTTGTATTACTTTACAAGTCATACACAGGTGTCCGCTTTTATAACTCAGTACACTTTGCGGTAGGTCTCATGGGCCTGCAGGTTTTACACGAGCAGCAAGGGAATGATTCAGGTTCTGGAGGTTTACTGTGGAATCTTGGTGGTCAGTGGTCACGCTCCCCACTTGCTGTGCCATCAGGTCCCTTGGTTATCTGGGAGAGTAGAGCTGCCTCGTACTTGACAGGTCTCAGGCTCCGTTTAAGGTATCTAACACCAGTGCTGAGGTTGCTGGTTAGACCTCTCTTCCCACCTGAGGTTCGGCCTTCAGTCTAGCTGGGTCCCTGTGCAGGGTCACAGGAGCCGTGGTGGGGCAACAGCAGAGCACCTGGAACCTGGGCCCCACTCAGCAGATGTTTGTTTTGCTGAGTTGAGTCCATGAGTGGTCAGGCTGTCATTGAGAAGCTAAAACAGTTAAGAGTTCTATAGTTGCTGATCTCACAGACATATACCGAACACTCCACCCAGCAGCAGCCAAATATACTTTCTTTTCCAACGCACATGGAACATTCTCCAGAATAGACCACATTAGACCATAAAGCAAGCCATAACAAAATCCAAAGCATCGAAATATTACAAAGCATCTTTTCTGACTATAAAGCTATAAAAGTAGAAATAAAGAACAGAAAAAGCAAGAAAAAAAATCAAACACATGGAAGTTGAACAACATCTTGCTTAAATACTACTGGGTTATAGGAGAAATTAAGGATGGAAAAAAGAAATTCATAGAAGCAAACGAAAATGAAAACATCCTACCAGAACCTTTGGGACACAGCAAAAGCAGTGCTCAGAGGTCAGTTTATAGCGATAAATGCACACATCGAAAAAGAAGAAAGGGCCAAAATCAAAACATTAACCCTACAACTTGAACAAATAGAGAGCAGCAAAAGAAGCCCTCAGGTGCCAGAAGACAGGAAATGATAAGAATTAGAGCAGAATTAAATGATATAGAGAAGAGAAAAACAATTGAAAGAGTTAACAAGACTAAAAGCTGGTTCTTTGAAAAGCAAAATTGATAAACCATTGGGCAAACTGACAAAAGAAAAACAGGAGAGGAAGCAAATAACCCATATAAGAAATGAAATGGGTGATATCACAACACTGAAATTAAAAGGATCATAACAGAATACTATGAAAAATTGTCCTCTAACAAATTTGAAAACCTAGAGGAAATGGACAAATTTCTAGAAATTCACTACCTACCTAAACTAACACAAACAGAGGTAGAACAACTAAATAAACCCATAACAAAAGAAAAGATTGAAAAG